GACAGGCACCTTTGCTTCCCTTCTCCCCAGAGTTCAGCACAGAGGAGCTCTCATTTTCTAGTCTTGACCTTGACAGACTCATGCAGTAATTCCTACATCCATGGGGCTTCTCACACCCTGCTACTGCTGGTTTCCAGTCACAAGCCTCCAGCCAGGCACTCAGGTACAGCAGAGAGCCCCTGCCCCAGCCAAACAGGCTCTGCCCCTGCGCCTGCCCTAAATCCTGCCAGGGGCAGAGCCTGGCAGGAGGCACCTGTGCCCTCCTGGCACCTGAGGGCAATGCAGCTCCCTCCTGATCAGACTGCTGGCAAACTGATGGCAGGGGAGCGCTGCAGCTGACACCTGGGCTCTGCTTTGAAACTGTTTAATTGTCACGGGGAAATAAAACAGAGTTCAGAAACACGCTCTGACCCGTAACTTGGGAATAAACAGCCATGCCTCATCCCCCTTACCCAGAGTTTTCTGTTGGCTTCTTTGGGTGAGGGCAGGGGTTGGTTGGGTTTTTGGGGGGATTTCTGATTGTTTTTTCAGCAATTCAAAAGCTGAATTAAAGACCAGAGTTCAGGGTTATCTTCAGCAGATGACAAATTGTTATTTCAGAACAAGCAAAACTTGTGCAGCAAAGATCAGCTTTTGGTTTGCTTTCAGTTCAGGTTCTTGTTAACGAACTGCAGAACATTTTCCTTTAATTACTGCATTAGACCTATAGGTTATGGGGGCTATGGATTTGTAGGCTTGCTGCCTTATCCTGTGGATGTAAATCCATGATGTACAGTGGCCATCAAGAACCAGGAACATGCCTGATTAATCACCCTCACAAAACAACTGCAGAGAGCAAGACAGAGACCTCCAAAATCCGGTTCAGTGCTGCTTTTGCAATTCAAACCATGAAAAAACCTTTCCAGCTAATGTAAAAGATGAGTGTTGAAAACATCCAGCCTGCACCTGCAGAAGTGCTTTAGCAGGAGCGCCTGGAGTGGATCTGCAGGTGCCTGTCTCTGCCTGACAGGAGATTAAAGATCTCCTCGAGAGCACAGGAGCCCCTGTGGGAGCAGATCAAACATGGAATTACCCCGGCTGAGGACCTGCTGCAGTAATGAGGAGAGCAGATCTTCCTCGGGCACAGCGAGTGTTAAACAGGCTTTTCTCTAAACTGGAGGGACAGACAACCCCTCCCTTGCTGCCCACCTCCAGCACTGCCCACGGCAAGAGAGCGGTGTCACAGCTTCCCAGACAAGAAAACGCAGAAACCCCTTCTCCACTCACCAGGCGCTGGGTGAGAGGCAGCCCCAGGAGCTGCTGCTGAGGCTGCCCACCCCTGGATGATTTACAGAGCCCCAGCTCATCTCTGCTGCATGCAGGTCAAAAGCAGCAGCCACGGGGGTCCCTGGCCCTTCACACCTGGTGTGGACATCAAGGACAGCCCATCCCTCCCAGAGAGGATGGATTGTCTCCAGCCCAGGGGCTGGGGGAGCACAGGGGGACAGGAGGAACTGGGAGCACAGGGGGACAGGAGGAATTGGGAGCACAGGGGGACAGGAGGAATTGGGAGCACAGGGGGACAGGAGGAATTGGGAGCACAGCAAGGTCAGAAGGAATTGGGAGCACAGGGGGACACAGGAGGGACAGAAGGAATTGGGAGCACAGCAGGACAGAAGGAATCTGCTGACGGAAGGGATCGGCTGGGGACAGGAGGGGACAGGAGGGGACAGGAAGGCAGCCATGGCCCAGGCCCCTTTCCAGCTTGCATTCCTCTGAGGTGCTGCTTGGCTTCCTGGAGGGCAGCAGTGGTGCCCTGAGCTCAGCAGCACCCTGCCCACGCAGACAGCACCACTGTCCCAAAGCAATGTCAGCACAAACACCCCAGCAGCTCCAAGCACTGCCCCTGCTGCCAGGGCCCCTGGCTGCTTTGCTGGGAGCTTGTCCAGCTCATTACAGTGGAGCTAGAATGCCTGACTGTGGCCTTGAGCCCCAGGAGAGCTGTACCTAAGAGTGTTGTTGTGAAAATCCCAACACGGCCCTCGGAGGGTCCCCTCATCCTTCCCAAGGCATCCAGCCACCAAGCAGGCATTGGGAGAATTGGGCCAGCAAGAAGCTGGGAAGGAAAAGAACAACATGAAAATGCTTTGCACGGGCCTTTGAGGAGAATTGGCACAATGAGGAGAGAGAGAGCATGAGAGGGGAACTGCAGGAACAGAAGCACCTGCAGTGCTGGCCTGGGAAACAGCAGGGACAGTATCACAAGGGAGCAGTGGGATGAGGGAGGGACCAGCCCATGTCTGCAATGGAAGAACAAATTTAAAACCAAACATCATCAAACAAAACCCAGATACATAATTCAGGTACCTAATTAAGACTAGAATTGCATAAAAAACCCGTTTGCTGACACTGATGCATGAAACACATCAGGGTGGTGTTCTCCAAAGCTGCCTCTTTAATTGAATTTCTGTTGACCTGCCCGCTGTCCCTGCCCACAGTGCCCCAGGAGCACACAAAGCCCACAGATGAGCTGTGGAGCAGCTCTGCCTTCCCTCCTGGCTTGGGCAAAGCCAGGTTATTCCACAGACAGGTATGTTAGGAACTGAACTGCTGAAAAATGAGCTAAAATTGTGAAATTCCATTTTTGATAGGTACAATTTGCTATGCAGATCCAGTTCACAAACATCTCCTTCACTCAGCTTTCCCCTTCCCAGCACTCCTGAGCTCACACTCAGTCACACTTTCTTGCCAAAATATAGTTTCACTTCCCAAAAAGCTCCCTTCATTCTCCTTTGTAATGAATTCCAGCTAAACCAATGTCTCAAAGTCAGACACGGGCCAGAATTGCCAGCGAAGCAGCGAGCTCAGCTGGGGTTTGTACAGACACTGTGCTCCCCGTAAGGCTGCCCTGGGAGATCCCAGCCACATCATAATAAAATATTCCACATGTTCCTCAGCCACCTTCCGGAGGGAGAGCTTTGTATCTCTTGTAATTTAATGCTCTGCCTCTCAGCAGTGAGAGCTGCAGCTTAATGACAACAGACAGCACATCCTGAGATGAAAGCCCTGTTCTTAAAATTTTGACAAGGTCCACGTACATTTAAAACATTTGTTTTTATTTTAATGCAGATTTTCAGATATGTGATTTTGGAAAATGCTCTCAGAAGTGACTTCAGTTCCTTGTCTACCATGTTTACAAATTAAGGAGACTGGTACAAATAATTTAAAAATGTCTTTTGCCTTGTGTTTAAACTCAGAGAAGCACAGCATTGGAATGTGTTGCTCCAGAAGCTTTGACCTCCGTCTTCCAGAAGAAAAAAATTGATGAACTGAAAGAGAGCAATTGATGCTTTGCTTTTCAGACAGTAATTAAGATGGAGAAAAGGCACCTAACAACAGCTTTCTCACCCTCCCTAGCACCCAGGGGAACAGAATTCAGTGTGAGCTGTGAAGATTTTCCCTGTTCTTAGGGTAGCACCTAAAGATGCCACCTCAGGATTCAGTGCCGGGCTCAGCTGAGGCATTGTCCCTTTTCCTGACCCCCAGTGCCAGTGACACAGTGAGTGGGGCAGTGCTTCTCGGCCCCAGCTCCCGTGCTGGAGCAAGGTGGGACCATCCAACCCCGAGGTTACCAACACCAGCCAGCGAATCCCACCAGTAAAGCTCTGACTGGATTACACAGAACAGCCCGGTCCTGCCAGCCCTCCTGAACTCCCACAGCTCACGTTTGATTTTGAACTCATCTGAACAATAGCAGAACCTTTAAAAAGATGTTTGAATCTTTATCTCGTCTTTAAAGCTTCGTATTGCCCTTACATCTCCAGTTGGACTCCTAGAAGGAGGTTTGCCCTAGAATGACACATTCTGAGCTGAAAGATGCTGTCAGTCGAGTTTGTGGCTGTCACAGACACCCCTGAGCCGAGAAAAATCACCTGAAGCACCGACAGACACCTCTGCAAGGAGAGGAAACGTCCTCCAAACCGAACTGAGCGTTTCCCGGCCGCTCTCGGGAGGGGTCGCGCCCGAACCCCCCCCGGACAGCGAACGCTCCTCGAGTGCCGGGCAGCCGAGCCCGTGCGGGGCCGGGGATGCGGGGCCGGGGATGCGGGGCCGGGGGATGCGGGATTCCCGTGCGGGATTCCCCTGTGCGGGGTTCCCAGGGATGCGGGGCCGGGGATGCGGGATTCCCGTGCGGGATTCCCCTGTGCGGGGTTCCCAGGGATGCGGGGCGGGGGATGCGGGATTCCCGTGCGGGATTCCCCTGTGCGGAGGTCCCAGGGATGCGGGGCCGGGGATGCGGGGCTCCCGTGCGGGATTCCCCTGTGCGGGGGTCCCAGGGAGCGGCGGTGGCGCTCCCGCAGCATCCCCGGAGAGGCGGCGGGCGCTCCTCGCTCCCCGCCTCGCAGCGAGCGGTGCCCATGGGGCTGCGGGGAGCCCGGGGTGCCCCGGAGGAGGAGGCGGTGTCGGGTTTGCCCCTGCCCTGGAGCAAGAACGCGCAGGTGGGGACGCGCAGGTGGGAGCGGGCGGCCGGTGCCGGTGCCGGTGCCGGTGCGGGTTTGTGCGAGGGACGCGAAATGAGTTAATTCTGCTCGGAATCGCTGCTGGCGGGGAAGGAGCTGACGTGTGGAGACGCCTCCGGGGATGAGCCGCCGGCGGGGCCGGGAGCGCTCGGCGCAGCCGGGCCGGGGGACGGGCGGGCACCGCTGCAGCTGCCCCCGGCTCCCTGCGGGATTCCGGCCCCTCCTGCGCCCGCAGCTCCCGGCGCATCGCACGGGCACAGCGGGGCAGCTGTCAAACGACAGCGCTTTGGGCCATGACACGGACCCGTCGCTGAGGGGAAACCCGAGAGTTGGGGGCTGGTTCGTGGGCGGGTTTTTGTTTCAAGTTAAGGATTCCTTTTTGCTCGTGGCTTAAACCCGAGCGGCTCAGCTCGGCTGGCGCGGGGAGCGCCCGCGTGTTCCGCTTCCCCCGCCGGAGCCCGCCCGCCGCCGCCGGGGATGGCGGCGTGGGATCCCCGCAGGATGGGGGCCCCGCGCAGGCAATGGGGGCCCCGCTGGCTGGGGACCCTCCTGGCCGCCTGCCTGGCCTCCCTGCCGGCCACCGGCGCCTGTCCCCGGCCCTGCGCCTGCCACGGCCCCGCCGAGCTCCACTGCACCTTCCGCTACTTCAGCGCCGTGCCCCCGCGCATCCCGCCCGACGTGCAGCGCATCAACCTGGGGTACGTGAGCTGCGCCACCCGAGCACCCCGCCTGCCTTTCGGCCCTTTGCACAGCAGTAATTAACCGTCCAGATTTAGGGCTAAATGTTAACCACAGCAATAGGTGAGTCTGTAATGTTCTGCAGCGCTCAGCAGGGGCTGCAGCCACAGCCAGCAGAGCCCGAGACCACCCACAGTAAGGAGAAATTTTGGGGATCTAGCACAGGACACATGAGAACTTCAGAACGTTTTGAACTTAACTTTCCTCTATATTACCTGAATGTGTTGTGTCTGTAGCATGGAACCTGGAAGAAGGCTGAAATAGATTTCTCTCTGGGGAAGGATAGTCCAGAGCTCAGAAAGTGGTCTGGAAAAGGAGCACAGATATTAAAATCTGCACAGACTTTGCAGTGATGCAACACCAAGGTCGGGGGTTAGATCCCCCTGTGAGCCATTCTCCTAAGGGCTGGACTCAGAGATCCTTCTGGGTCCCTTCAGATCCAGCCTGTTCTGTGATTCTGTCACTCAGAATGTCCCACAGCATTAGGGTCTACGCTTTCATCTGCTGAGTTCAAGGGAAATTTCACTTGTCTGGCCATGTCAGCCTCCACGGTGGCTCTGTTCTCTGAGTGGTTAAAGGAACAGGGAATAGATCACACCCAGGCTTGTCTGGCCCCTTCTTGCAGTTTCCAGCAAGTGTCCTCTCTCTTAAATCAAATGATGAGACCCATCAGCAGTATTTGTCTGATCTGTGTGTCCCTTTTGATGCACATACCCTTTGAACCATCCAGATGTGTCTGCAGGAATACACAAAGAACTTTTCACTGAAGTGGTAGCAGAGTGGACACAGACAAATGTGTTTCATTGCTGTCACTCACCCCACCCACTGGGAATTCACCATCAGAACCCTGTCCTGGAAAAGTGACCACCTTTTGTGCCAGCCTGAAGGAATGACTCACTTTCCTCCTGGCAAGGGGAGTGCTGCTTACCTTCAGCCATTCCCAAAGAGTGGTTCTTTTGTTTTGGGTTGGTTGGATTTAAAAGCTGCCAGTTGGGGCTGACTAAACCCATCCCATACAGCTACAACAGCCTGAGAAAGCTCAGCCCCACGGACTTTGCTGGCCTGGAGAAGCTGGAGTTACTGATGCTGCACAGCAATGAGATCAGTGCCATCCCTGAGAAGGTGTTCAGTGATTTACGCTCGCTGCAGGTAAGAGCTAAATGAGCCAGTGTTAATTTGGTTATGATTTAACTCTCAGTGATACGGGTAGGCAGCCACAGGGCAGCCTTCTGCAGCATTTCAGTTTCCTGTTTCTTACCTTATTCATGTGAAAGTCAACAGCCTTCAAAATCCCCTATCCTGGTGGGAAATGTCTTTCCTTCCCAGGTGGGCACTCAGGTGCAGGGTGCAGAGCACAACAAACACTTTGGTAGGTATCTCTCAGCTGTACCTGAGCAGGCAACTGCAGTCAAAACTCTCTTCCTACAGAGGAGAAAGATTGCAAAGCTCCAACTACTGTGTCTGGAAAGGAAACCTGTCATTGTTAATTTGTTAGTCAGTTTGGGGCTTTTTGAGGATTTTTTTCCACTGAGGTTTCCCTTTCCCTTCAGTACAATCCTGTCCCTTTCTAGCCTTCATGAGAAAAAGGCCAAACTGTGCAGAAACTTAATACTGTATATAAACACTTTAGTTCTTTAAAGAAACTCCAGTTAGCTGGCATTCCTGGTCTGGTGAAGAACTTTCACTGCACAGAGCAACCTTCAGCAGCATTTAATAGGGGTCCTGTAACTTTGGCTTAATATTATGCATTTTTTACTTTGTCATGAACAGGTCTTAAAAATGAGTTACAACAAGGTCAGAGTGCTTCAGCAGGATGTATTTTATGGTCTGAACAGCTTGGTACGGCTGCATATGGACCACAATCAAATTGAATTTGTGAATCCCAATGTTTTCTACGGGCTCACTTCCTTGAGGCTGGTCCACCTGGATGGAAATTTCCTTCAGCAGCTGCACCCAGACACTTTTGTCACCTTGCGCTATAGCCAAATATTCAGAATATCCTTCCTGAAGCACATCTCTCTGTCTGACAATGCGCTGACTTCACTTCCACAAGAGATGTTTTCCTACATGTCAGAGCTCGAGAGCATTTACCTCCATGGAAACCCCTGGTCCTGCGACTGCAGCCTGCAGGGGTTTGCAGGGTGGGCACGGGAGAGACCAGGTGAGCTGAAGGCTTTGCTCATGCTCTTTAATCCTGTTGTAGCATCTTGCTCTTCCTGATACAGGTAACTGTCCTTTATTCATCTGTTTATTCTCCCAGGAAAGATTGGAAGGTAGGATTTATGTAGGTGTGGGCAATCAGGATAAAGAGATTAACACCACTGCATTTCCCAGATTAAATGGATCTTGTGGCCATTCCCAAGTGCAGCTTTTCTTAATAAGAATTTTCCTTGGCCAGTTCAAAGCTTCTGTGCACTGGGAGAATCCACAGGGAACAAGCTAGCTTCTGTGGAATTGGCAAGAGCAAGAGCCACATTGCACTTGCTTCTTTAAAAGAAATTCAGGAACTCAAGGGACTCTAGGACTTTCTCTGCTGCTGCCATTCACATGTCACTTCAAGCTTTGGTTTTATTGTATTCAAAAGAACCACTTGTTAGTAGCTATATGTCATTTTTAATACTAAAACTTGTAGCACAGAAACTTACTGAGGTTTTCTTCTCTTCAGATGTTATAAAGTGCAGAAAAGAGAGAAGTTCTGGTGTCCAGCAATGCCCAGTCTGTGCTAGTCCCAAAACTCATAATGGGAAAAGTTTAGTGGATCTCCCTTCTGCATCTTTCACCTGCACTAAGCCAGTCATCCATGACTCCCTGAAATCCAGAAACCTCTCGGTGCCAGACGATGGGGACTTCAGCTTTGTGTCTCCCAAGGACTTGATGGCTCCGATAGGATCTGTGGTTTTGAATATGACTGACCAGGCAGGAAATCGAGGCAACTTGGTTTGCAATGTCCAGAGCCCTAAAGAAATGTCTCCCATCTCATTTGACCAAAGTGGCCCCAGCAGAGTGCTCAAAGCCTCGTTCTCAGCATTCCTGGTGTGTGGTATCGATTATGGGCACATCCAGCAGCTGTGGAGCATCCTGGCACTGTACAGCAGCTCTCCTTTGAAACTGGAGCAAACTGTGCGGGCAGCCGGGGAGCCTTCATTCAGCTACAAATACAAGCAGGTGTACAGCGAGAAAGATGAGCTCTTCACCAGGATCGAGGCAGAGCTGCGAGCGGAGCCAGCGTGGCTGCTGCAGAGGCAGGTGTCCCTGCAGCTGGACAGGACGGCCACCACGCTCAGCACGCTGCACCTCCGCTACACCGCCCAGGCCCGGGTGCCTCTGCCCAGCCAGGACAAGGAGCAGGGCAGACACGGCTGGGCCATCATTTCCAGGGACAACAGCACCCAAACGGAGCGTGCCGTGCTGGCGGGGGGCTCCGTGGAGCTGGGGTGCCGGGCGGCCGGGCAGCCAGCGCCTGCCGTGGAGTGGATCCTGGCTGATGGCAGCAAGGTGCGAGCTCCTCACGTCAGCGAGGATGGGAGGATCCTGGTCCTCAGGAGCGGCGTGCTGACACTGAGGACAGCTGACGTGTTCGACTCGGGCCTCTACCACTGCATCAGCACCAACCACAAGGATGCTGACGTGCTCACGTTCCGGATTACTGTGGTGGATCCTCACGTGGGACACAACGGTGTCAATGGAGCCCAGGTGCCGGCGGCTCTCGGCAGCACGCTGCACCTCCCCTGCACAGCCACGGCTGCCCCAGACCCTGCCATCACCTGGGTGCTACCTGAGCACACAATTCTCCATCAGTCTGCTGGAAACAAACACATTTTTGCCAATGGCACCTTGAGAATACAAGGGGTGACGCAGCGGGACGTGGGCTACTTCCGATGCTTGGCGGCCAACCGGTTCGGTGTTGATCTTTTGGTCTTCCAAGTGCTGGTGAGACAGGATGAAACCGCTCTGAAGAAAAAGCATGGGGCTGTGGGAGACTGGGAAGAAGGCTCTGGCAATGAGCTGCCACGCTCTGCTGCAGCACAGAGACGTCCCTCGGGCACTGCAGGCACCCGGAGGGCTCTCGGGGAACCTGCTGCACCAGCAGCCAGCAGCCAGAGCACACGTCCGAGGAACAGCCACGGGAAAACGCCTCCCTGGCCCCTCACAGACAGGACAGGCCGGCGCTTCAGGGCACACAGGAGACAGTTTGTTTCCTCAGGCAGGAGAGTTGATCCACAGCGCTGGGCAGCCCTGCTGGAGAAAACAAAGAGGAACTCGACAGTGGCAGACAAACGAGGAGAAGCTGCAACAGAACCACCCATTCAAGCCCACAAGCTCTCAGAGGTACCTGAGGATGAGGAGGAGACATCTGGTGATCTCGTATCTCCAGAAGAAGAATTCATGATAGCAGCAACAGAGAGATCCCCAGTATCTGCTCTGGGCAGAGCAACAGAGCTCACGATCACTGCAGGGCCCAAGGAAAATGCAAATCCCCCTCCTGCCCGAAGCACCTCCCTCCTGCTCACAGGGCCAGTAACTCCCCTAGCCTCACCTCTTCCACACCCTGGGGCGCCTGCCAGCAAAAGGCTGCAAACACTTCCAAAACCTACAGACTCATGGGAAAGATCTGTTTTGAGTCAAATATCAGCAAATGATGTAAAACAGCCAACTGTACCTAGTGGGACAGCCACACTCTTCCCCGATGGGCAGAAGTCAATATATTCTGGGGAAAGTGATGACCAGCACCTAAAATCTGCATCCATGACACCCATGACAGAAGCTACAGGCACCAGCAAGGCTGTAACTCCCCAAAGCACAGCAGACAAGTTACATATTCTTACTGACTCCATTGATAATGTCTCCACCAAAACAGTTCACCAGGTCCCTGTGGCGACAGTCAATGCACCAAGCTCTGAATTTGGCCCCATTTATTTTCATAGTACTCAGAAAGGAGGAACCCCTAATCCACCTGCCTCGACTTTCACTACTCATCAGCAAATTCAGGGCGTTCCAACTCATCCACCCCAGCTCCAGCAGCACCACGGAAGACGAAGGAAAATTTCTGGTCAGAGACGAATTGTTAGACCAGGACGTGTCCCAGGAATGAAAGAGCCCCGATACAATTTTGGGAGACCAGGGTCTGCCAGAGGAAGTACAGCTGTGGCTACAGGTGTCCAACTTAATATGAACTACGCATCAAATGTACCAAGCTCAAATAACTCCAGCAGTTCCATCAACCCATTCAGCCCAGACACACCCCAGTCCTCCCCCTCCACCATGAAAATGCCATTGGAGCACCCCGTGGGTACCCATCAAAACACAGCTTTCCTCAGGGAAGAGGAAAAGAAACGTGGTGCAAGGCCAAAAGCTGCTGCCACAGTGGTGTCTGTCACTGCAGAGGACACTGCCACTCCTGCAGCCAGTGGATTGGGTGTGATGGGTTTGAAGCCCACAGTTACACTGGTTACTACTCCTCAAACCAGCGCCAGAGCCACCAAAAGCAAAATACTCAGAGTGGGAGGAAGGAGAGGTCAGAGGAGGAAGAGGCCTCCTAAAACACCTGCACCACAGCGTGTGGCTGCAGCCCAGAGCACTGCAGCCACCCCTGCAGTGAGCAATGCAACCCCTGCAGCCCAGAGCACTGCAGCCACCCCTGCAGCCCAGAGCACTGCAGCCACCCCTGCAGCAAGCACAGCCACCCCTGCAGCCCAGAGCACTGCAGCCACCCCTGCAGCCCAGAGCACTGCAGCCACCCCTGCAGCGAGCAATGCAACCCCTGCAGCCCAGAGCACTGCAGCCACCCCTGCAACAAGCACAGCCACCCCTGCAGCCCAGAGCACTGCAGCCACCTCTGCAGCAAGCAATGCAACCCCTGCAGCCCAGAGCACTGCAGCCACTGCTGCAGTGAGCACAGCCACCCCTGCAGTGAGCAATGCAACCACTGCAGCAACAAGCACAGGCACCCCTGCAGCGAGCACAGGCACCCCTGCAGTGACAGCTCCTACCTCACCAGCTGTGCCCCCAAGCCCTGCACCTGCAAACGCTCTCCCTGGGAGCATCAGTGCAGGCTCCAGGACTGGAACAGCAGCACTGGGGGTCCCTGGGAGCCCCGAGGCCCCTCAGCCCGGGCCCATGGCAGCCGTGCCAGCAGCAGCCCCGGGCACCTGCAGGAGCCCCCTGTCAGTAACAGCACTGCCTGGCAGTGGGGCTGCCCAGAGCCCCCCCATGGCACCCCAAACCCCTCCGGGCTCACAGAGGAGCACCCGGCTGGCCACGGCACCTGCCCTGACCCCCACCGTGGGTGTCCAAACCTCACCATGGCCGGATGAGCACCCTGGTGCCACCGGTGCCCCACCTGCTGCCGGCAGTGCCACGCCGGGGCCAGGACCTGCCCAGCGCACCAGAGCCACTGCCGGGGCAGGAGAAAGGCCCCAGCTGGGTCCGGGGGAGGGCGCAGCTCAAGCTCAGCCCGCGCTCCCGGCCACAGCCCCCGCCGCGGTCACCGCTCCCAGCACCCGGCACCCCCGGCCCCTGCCAGCCCCCCGGGGGCACGGCCAGCCCCAGCTGCAGCCCAGGCCGCCTCCCGAGGGCTCCGAGAGGGGGAACACGCTGCAGGCACCGCAGGTCGCAGCTCCCTGGGGAGGGGACAAGGACGGCCCCGGCAGCGCCTCGTCTGACGGGCGGCACAATGGAGACACCACCACCCTGCCCACTCCCATCACCTTAGGATCTGCAAGCAAAGAACATTTTTCAAAGCCCAGGATAGTCGGAGGAAAAGTGGCTGCTTTCACTGTGCTGGCAGATTCTGATGCTTTTATTCCATGTGAAGCTACTGGGAACCCCCCTCCAACAATACAGTGGACCAAGATACCATCAGGTGAGCTTGATAAACCTCTCTAGAATTTACCTTCCATTACCCCTGTAATTTGTCACCTCTTCTGTGTGCCGAACTCAAGCATTGCTTCATTTCAGAGTACTGTGAAATATTAGTGAAAGGCAAACTTGGAAACAGTGACAGAGACTCACTGGAGCAACTTAGTGCTGATTCTGGAACAGCTCTTTAGTGAAATGATTAAAAAAATCAAATCTATGTTTAATTATAATTCCTTGCTTATCATGGGAAAAGTTCAGCATTTATTCTACATTACCTGCTATTCCAGGACAGTGAGACAAACAAAAACAAAAATGTGGTAAAAACCACTCAAACTGAGTTACAGCTGTGCCAGGTTTGGATTGCAAAGCCCTGTGTGCTTTATCCAAACTTTGTCTCTACTGGAGATTCAGCTTCATTCTTACTTTAAAGCTTTGTCAGTCTATATGCAGAATTCTCTGATTTCTTTCTGGTTTATCACTGTTGTCTTGGTTATTTGGGCAGAGCAGAGCAGGTCAGGGTATTTGGGACTGAGGAAAATGCAATGAGAGGCAGGCAGTGCCAGGCAGTCCCAGTCTGTCCCAGTGTGTCCCAGTCAGTCCCAGTCTGTCTCAGTGTGTCCCAGTGCGTCCCAGTCTGTCCCAGTGTGTCCCAGTGTGTCCCAGTGTGTCCCAGTCTGTCCCAGCGTGTCCCAGTCTGTCCCAGGCAGTCCCAGGCAGTCCCAGTCTGTCCCAGTCTGTCCCAGTGTGTCCCAGCATGTCCCAGTGTGTCCCAGGCAGTGCCAGGCTATCCCAGTGTGTCCTAGTCTGTCCCGGGCAGTGCCAGGCTATCCCAGTCTATCCCAGTCTGTCCCAGCGTGTCCCAGGCAGTCCCAGTATGTCCCAGTCAGTCCCAGCGTGCCCCAGTCAGTCCCAGTCTGTCCCAGTCTATCCCAGTCTGTCCCAGCGTGTCCCAGCGTGCCCCAGGCAGTGACTGTCCGTGCCTTGCTCCGCAGGGCGCGATGCCCCGGTGGCTCACGGCGATGCCCCGGGCCGCCGGTCGGTGCTGCCCAGCGGGACTCTGGCCATCGCCCGGGCGGGGCCGCAGGACGCCGGGCAGTACCTGTGCACGGCTGCCAACGCTCTGGGCTCGGCCCGGCTGCTGGCCACGCTGGCCGTGCGGGCGCTGCCGCCGCGCATCGCCGCCGCCCGCCCGCTGACCGCGCACTCCGGGGCGGCGGCGGCGCTGCCGTGCCGGGCCCGGGGCAGCCCCGCGCCCCGCATCTCCTGGCTGCTGCCCGACGGCACCGAGCTGCGCCCGGGCTCGGCGGGCCGCGGCAGGGCGAGGGTGCGAGCGGACGGCACGCTGCTCATCCGGGCCGTCACCGTCTACGACAGGGGCACCTACACCTGCCGGGCCCGCAACGCCGCGGGCTCCGACGCGCTGCCCCTCCGGCTGCAGGTGGTGGCGGCGCCCCCCGCCATCCTGGAGGAGAAAAGAGAGAACGTGGCAGGGGCGGCGGGGCAGAGCCTGAGCCTGCCCTGCACGGCGCACGGCGAGCCCGAGCCCGGCGTGCACTGGGTGCTGCCCGGCGGCGCCGCGCTGAGACCCCTGCAGGCGCTGCACGCCAGGCTGGTCCTGCTCGCCAACGGAACCCTGCTCCTGGGCAGCATCAGCCCCTCCGACAGCGGCACCTACGAGTGCATCGCCACCAGCTCCACGGGCTCGGACAGGAGGGTGGTCAGCCTCGTGGTGGAGCACAGAGACACACCTCCGACAATTGCCACCGCCTCCCAGGAACTGACGCGGCTGAACTTTGGGGAGAGGTTGCTTTTGAACTGCACAGCAAATGGGGAGCCCACACCCAGGATAATCTGGAGGTTGCCCTCCAAGGCTCTTGTGGACCAGTGGCACAGGTATGACCCTTTTTTTCCTCCTCCTCTTTGGAGCTTCAAACACTGTCTGCTCTGGTGCTCATGTAAGAGCCTAATACAGCACTAATACACTGTAAACTAAACCAAACTTTAAGCATTTAACAGTTGTGAAACATCTGTTCTAATAGCATCTATATCTAATAACAGACCTATTAATAGATTACATCAATTGCCATAGGTGAATGAGGTCTCAAAACATGTACAAGTCATATTTGAATTAATTGAATTTGAATTAATCTATTAATTAATTACTGTCACCGTGCACTGGCTGGCTGCTGTCAGTTTAGAGGAGGGGAAGTTATTTGTAACAGATTTGTGAAGCAGGGCTCAGGAGGGAGGGGTTTCTCTCATCTCTGCCCTGTCTGCCTTTGGGGGTGTCCCCCACCCCCTCCCACAGTAACACTCACCTCCACCTCAGGAGAGACAGCCCCAGCTCAGGGTGTTCCCAGCAGAGCCAGCACCGCTCACATCCACACAGCTCCAAACCTGGCAGCGACATCAGGGCAGGACGCGCTGGGTGGGCAGGAGGCATGGGCACAGCACCTGTGGAAAGGCCTCCTGTGTTGTACCCTGCTGCTAACACAGTCAGTCCCTTCCAGAGCTCAGTGTTCACCCCCAGCACTTGCTGCCGTAATTCTTTTCCTCTCTCTCCGTCCCAACAGAATGGGAAGTCGGATCCATGTCTACCCCAATGGATCCTTGGCTATTGAGGCAGTTACAGAAAAGGATGCAGGTGATTACCTGTGCGTCGCAAGGAACAGAATCGGGGAAGATCTGATCCTGATGAAAGTCAGCATCACAATGAAACCAGCCAGGATTGACCACAAACAGCAGCTGGAGAAGCTGGTGCCATACGGGAAGGATTTCAGAGTGGACTGCAAGGCCTCAGGCTCGCCCACCCCAGCAATATCCTGGGGCCTGCCGGACGGGACGGTGGTGAACAACGCGATGCTGGCGGACGACAGCGGGCACAGGGCTCGCAGGTACGTCCTCTTCCACAACGGCACTCTGCACCTCAACAAAGCTGGAGTGGCAGAAGGAGGAGACTACACGTGCTACGCCCAAAACACTCTGGGGAGGGACGAGATGAAGATCCACGTCACGGTCGTTGTGGCAGCCCCTCAAATAAAGCACAATCACAAGACACACGTCACAGTGACAGCTGGAGACACAGCCCTGCTGGACTGTGAGGCTGCTGGAGAGCCCAGGGCACAGATATTCTGGTTGCTGCCCTCCAGTGAGATGATCTCCTCGTCCACAGACAGGCACTCCCTGCACGCCAACGGCTCGCTGTCCATCAGCCAGGCTGGCCTGCTGGATGCTGGGGAGTACCTGTGTGTGGCTCAGAACCCTGGCGGGGACGACAGCAGGCTGTACAGGCTGGGTGTGGCTGCTAAACCCCCCATCATCAATGGTGTACACGGGAACAAAACGATCATGAAGGTGACGGCAGTGAGGCACTCCAAGAAACACATCGACTGCCGGGCAGAAGGGACACCTCCTCCCCAGATTATGTGGATCATGCCTGATAACATTTTCCTAACAGCCCCATATTACGGGAGCAGGATCGTGGTGCACAAAAATGGGACACTTGAGATTCGGAACATCAGGCCCTCAGACACGGGGGATTTTACCTGTGTGGCACGTAATGATGGGGGAGAGACTGTGCTGGTGGTGCAGATGGAAGTCACAGAAATGCTACGGAGACCAATGTTCAAAAACCCTTTCAATGAAAAAATAATAGCAAAACCTGGGAAACCTATCACACTGAACTGTTCTGTGGATGGAAACCCTCCCCCGAATATAAGCTGGATGCTGCCCAACGGCACGTGGTTTTCCAGCAGCATCAGGACACCCCAGTTTGTCACAGGAAGCAACGGCGCCCTGACCATCCTGAGCCCCGAGAGCCAGCACGCCGGGCGGTACCGCTGCGCTGCGCGGAACCAGGTGGGCTACATCGAGAAGCTGATGGTGCTGGAGGTGGCCCAGAAGCCCAGGATCCTGACCCGGCCTGCGGGGCTGGTGCGGGGGGTCAGCGGGGAGCCCCTGTCTCTGCACTGCCTGGCCGAGGGCAGCCCCCGGCCCCGCTTGGCGTGGACGCTGCCGGGGGGGCGCGTGCTGGAGCGGCCGCAGCTCAGCGGGAGGCTCCTGCTGCTGGACAACGGCACCCTGGTCATCGGGGCAGCCTCGCCCCACGACACAGGCAGCTACCTGTGCCGGGCCCACAACGAGGCCGGGGACTCTTCCCTCACCATCCCTGTCATGGTCGCAGCCTACGCCCCGCGGATCATGGGCAGACCCCCCCCGGCCATCCACACCATGCCAGGGGCAGCAGTTCAGCTCCACTGCGTCGTGCTGGGCATCCCCAAGCCAGAAATCACCTGGGAGTTACCTGACCATTCCATTCTCTCCACAGCTCACCAGGGCCGGGGCTCTGGGGGCGAGCTGCTCCACCCCACGGGAACTCTGCTCCTGCAGAACCCCCAGCCCTCCAGTTCTGGCACGTACAGGTGCACAGCGAGGAACCCTCTGGGCACTGACACTGCAGCCACCTACGTCCATGTCATCTGAGCCAGAAACACAGCAGGAATGGTGGGGAACACAGGCTGCAGCCAGGCTGGGCTCAGCCCTGCAATGGCTTCAATCAAAGGCAGCCACAAGAACCTGAGTGCCTGGGCACATCACAGCATCCAGTCTGCAGTCACTGGGCAAAAGGAGAGAGGAAAGGGAAAATTAGCTCTAGCATTATTTCCTAGCATTGGTTCTCTCCATGTTCAGGGGATTTAAAGGACAGCAACATTAAGGCACTTAAGTGCCCAAGCCACAGCAGGAACAAACCCCACAGTGCCCGAGCCATGGCAGGAACAAACCCCACAGTGCCCAAACCATGGCAGGACAAACCCCACAGTGCCCGAGCCATGGCAGGACAAACCCCACAGTGCCTGAGCCATGGCAGGAACAAACCCCATAGTACCTGAGCCACAGCAGGAACAAACCCCACAGTGCCCGAGCCATGGCAGGAACAAACCCCACAGTGCCCAAACCATGGCAGGACAAACCCCACAGTGCCCAAACCATGGCAGGAACAAACCCCATAGTGCCCAAGTCATGGCAGGAACAAACCCCACAGTGCCCAAGCCATGGCAGGAACAAACCCCACAGTGCCCAAGCCATGGCAGGAACAAACCCCACAGTGCCCAAGCCACAGCAGGAACAAACCCCACAGTGCCCAAACCATGGCAGGAACAAACCCCACAGTGCCCGAGCCATGGCAGGAGCAAACCCCATAGTACCTGAGCCACAGCAGGAACAAACCCCACAGTACCTGAGCCATGGCAGGAACAAACCCCACAGTGCCTGAGCCGCAGGTGCCCAAGCCACAGGCTGTACCGCCCTGGCACAGGGGCCAGCAGGAGGGCAGGGCAGGAGGGTGTCCTGCACAGCAAGGATGCAGGGAGCACCTGAGAACTCTCAGAACACCTGAGGGCTCCCTTCCTGACAGCCTGCAGAAGGGAAGGCTTCAGGATGCCCCGCTGCAGCTGTGGCGCTGAGCACAGCAGGATCAGCACCCCAAACTCAGCGCCCACCATCCATCTCTGGGCCCTCAGCTTTACAGATCTGCCTCCTCAATCCACAACTGTTTTTCTCATTAGACCCAGTGAAAATGCACGTGCTTCTAATGCTTTTAATTAAGTGATTCTTTGGAAATCTGGTGTGCTGAATAAAACTGGAGTAATCCTGTACCCTAATAACTCCGTGGGCGCTACAGAAACCGCCCCAGCTTTGCTCAGCAAAACCTGGTGCTTACTGAAGGCAGTTTCAGTGTTTTACAAGACTTCAGCATCTTTTCCCTTTCTGAAACCAAATCCCTCACTTTAAACATGTGTAATCTCCTGGCTACCAGGCTGTAGGAACTGCTGAGGTTATCAAAGGCACTAACCAGCACATGGAGGTTTTGGGGGAGCATAAACCCAGCCCACAGCACCTTCTGCTGTGCAGGTGCTGGCAGAGGAGTCTGCACCAGGCAGGTGCCCATTGCCACAACACTCTCCCATCAGTTTGTTCAACATATAAGAACTATTTTAAAAACCCTCAAAAATGGATGCAAATTATATAAGATTAATGCTTTTTAACTCAAAAGCTGCAATTTCAGCATGACTGTATTTTCTCTACTTTTCTATAGCAAACTTTTCCTAGTTATCCTCACCTACCTGAAATATGTTTGGAAAAACTGTGGAAATAAAGGAAACAAGCATAATGAGATTTAAAAAGGATTTGTCAGTGACAGTTGTTGGGTAAAATCATTCCCTAATCCAGCAAAGGCTCCAATCCAGCAGCAAGTTATGTCTCAGAAGGAATTCAGTTTGTTTGGCTGTCTTCATGCAACTCTGGTTTATTACTAACAATTTAATTTAAAAGGATCTTCAAACAGTAAACCCCATTTTCCCCCCAGCCTGTTAGCAGTACAGCCCAAAAATCAAGGGCCCCAAGTCAGGAGCAGTGCCCTGTGGTGGGACACAGCAGGGGCAGCAGGGATGCTCCCAAGGACAGCACAGGGACAGGGAGCAGGGCCAGCCACCAGCACCTCACCTGGTCAGGGGCTCCCTTCTCTGTCCACAGGGGACAAAGCCCCCCTGACCCTCCCCTCCCCTCTCCCCGTGTGTTCCCTGTGTGACTGGAATGCTGCACAGCTGCACTTGGCCACTTCTAAAACCATTCCACCAGAAAAGCCAGGGACAGGCAGGAGCTGGACGCAGCAGTGATCCTTCCCACAGCTGCCAGTTCCCCATAGAACCAAACACAAATCCAAGTCCTCCAACAAGGCCTTTGCCATTCTAGACAGGATATCCTTACAGAGATGAGGAGAAAAATCACCAGTGATGCAGCTATTGGAAATACTTGTGAGTATCCACCTCTGTAGAGGCACAGCCTGGATTAAACCCGATTTCTGGCCTGAAAATTTAAATGGGCAAAGCAACTTTGAAAACTGCCACTTGTGAATGAGAAAGAAAAAGCTCAAAGACTGTGGGCTGCTCTATGTTCTGTGTCACATAAAGCATCTCGCTACTGCTGCTGAACAAAAGTTGTGTGTCACATCAAAAGCATGGCCTGAACATCTTAATATTTCAAGCCAATTTTGTGATATGGCAGCAGTTTATGCACTCTCTGCCGCTTGATTAAAACCATGTATCTCTCTGTCAGACTTCAAAGGTCATCTTATACATTTGTTTTCAAAAGCAGCATTTCCTTAAACTTTTTAGCCACTCTCTACTATGTTCTGAAGACTTTACACAGTTACAATACAGGTTAGTTGTATTTGGAGCTTCAGGAAGGAATATTTAATATTTATTACTGGAACCAAACTTTTAAACTGCTGCTCTAAGTCACAGGAATGTTTCTCAAATCGTCACACAGTGCTGCCCTCTGGAGCCAGCAAATCGCTGTAAAACTCTAATTCACTAACGAGAGGAAACAGACAATGCCCCACAAAATAAAGCACCGATCTGAAATGCTGAAAAAATGTGAGCCTGTGGATTTATTACAGCTAGAAGATGGCAAATTATCCACCATGGCTCTTGGTATGAATCACAGAGGAAATAACCCAAAGGGCCTTTGTTCCTTTAATTGTCCATTTCTCCCTTCACTCAGCACAGAACCCCACCAGCTCTGACACTGCCACCACAGGAGTTGTTCTGGCTTATCTCTCCACAAAGTTCAGCGCCTTGGCAGAGACAGAGCTGCAACTGAGAGCAGAAAAGCCCTTTGAGACCCCCCAGCTGACAAAGGAATCAGCCAAACGGGGCGAGAAACAGGAGCGGGTCAAAGTCTGCAGGCTGTGCTCCCGAGCTGGGGCCAGGGGCTGGCTGTGCAGGAGGAGGCTGGGCTGGGGAGGGGTCCCACAGGTGTTCCCCGAGGTGTGCCCCTAGGCTGAACCCCCAGGTGGGCCCCCAGCCTGTACCCACGGGTATTCCCCCAGCCTGTGCCCCCAGCCTGCACCCCCAGGCTGCACCCACAGGTGTTCCCCTAGCCTGTACCCCTGGCCCATACCCCCAGCCTGTACCCCCAGCCTGTACCCCCAGCCTGTACCCACAGGTGTGCCCCCAGGCTGTACCCCCAGCCTGCAGCCCCACAGGTGTTCCCCCAGGCTTACCCCCAGGCTGTACCCCGAGGCTGTGCCCCCACAGGGCAGGGGCTGTGTGAGCCAGCAGGGATGGCAGTGAGGAGCAGGAGGACGCACTCTGTGTGAGCTGGCCTGTGCATGGTCCTAAAATACACAGCAGAAGGACATGTGAATTCATACCTTCCTAACTCATAAGTAATGGCCATTTTCCTACTGAATTATGAAGAGACAGAGACACATCCTTTGTTGTTGGCAGTGATGTGAACTCCAGGTGAGGTCTGGTGATTCCCACTGCCAGCTCCAGGCACATCCCAGCCTCAGGAGCAGGCACCTTCTCCAGGCATGGTCAGGTGGAGCACCAGGACAGCTCAAAGCATCGGGATATAAGCAACATGAAGAACACCACTGAAACATCAAAAAGGCCAGAAAATCATCTTAGAATTACAGCTACTTAAGCCACAGCACATGGGGAATGCAGCTGGATGCTGAGGGAATATCCTTGGGCAACCCAGCTGGATGCTGAGGGAATCCTGGCACACCCACACCAGCCTGGCCACGCTGGTGCCAGGCATCGTTTCCAAAATCCTGCTCTAAGTGACTGCTCAGCTCAGGAACCCACAGCCCCAGCCCCAACAGGAGGGAAAGCGTCTCAGACACCAGACCAGGCTGCACAGCAGGACAGTTTAGTGTGTGAGACTTTTCCAAACTGCTTCCATTTGAATGGGGCCTGGGTTTAGCAGTTTAGTGTGTGAGACTTTTCCAAACTGCTTCCATTTGAATGGGGCCTGGGTTTAGCAGTTTAGTGTGTGAGACTTTTCCAAACTGATTCCATTTGAATGGACCTGGGTTTAAACCAACGCGCTTGGTGTCAAGATAGCATGACCAGGAAGCATTTCAGAATCTGCTCCTGCAGTAACAGCTACAGCTTGCCCCAGACAGGAGGAAGCACACACAGACCTGGGTGAGAGTTAGCAGGGCTGCCAGGCCCTGGTGATGCTCTCGCAGCCCCTGTGCCCCCACCTCCTTCTGGGGAGCACACACCCCCATCAGCCAGACAGAAACGGGGCCAGGGCACAACACCACGCTGCTTTCACTATTAGAAAACATCCACTTTCTGCATGAATCATTTCCTTGTACTTTTACTAAATTTAAGCAAGTGGCTTTGCAAGGTTTTTGGGGTTTTTCTCTTTGTTTGAAGAATGTAAGTTTTCTTTTCATCTCTTCTTTAAATGCAACATAGAAAGTACATAATGCAAGTTTAGTGCCCCAACCATGAATAAAAGTAACTGAGTGTCTTGCAGGGTTCCCAAATTTAACAGACTATGAAGAAAATCCTAGAAATCTCTTCCCATGCCCACATTCCTGTATTTTTATCTTCTTCTATTTCTTCTTGTTATCACCGGGAATGTTTCAGTCTTTCTTCTTTTTCCAAAATACACTTTCTTCTTTTTCCCAGACACTAGGAATGACAGGATTAAAACATGAGCACAGAAAGCAATTCAAAGGAAATGCTGAAAATGGCACACATGGCACTTACTTTTAATTTCTTCACTGAATGCCTGTAAGTCCTTTGGTTGTGCTCAGAGCCTCCTTGGGAGGCGTTTGACAGGTCTGAGGTGAGTGTCCCACTGATGAGGACCCCCAGCATGTCCAGCACGGTGGTGAACAACTCCCTGAAGTGAAGACACACGTTATCCTGGGGAGCTGTGGCTGCCAGGAGGCCCAGAGAGATCTGATCCATGGCAGAGGCCCCA